TATCAAAAGTTTTACGAGAATACATTTTTTGAATCTTTATAAAAAATGAGTAAAAAATGAGTATGGGGAAGACCCTGTTTCTGAAATTCATTCACATAAGTATAAGGCACAATGTTGCCAAAAGTATTTCTATGAAAAAGTTCTTTTTTTAAAACATCTACCTTCATGGTAAACACTCTAACAATATTAGGTCTATTATAAGTTTTATCTAATTGTAAACAAAAATCTTTATTTCTGGCCAGCTCGAATTTGCCGGCATTGTTAAGAAAATAATTGGTTTTTCATAATATTGCACTAAAGTTAAGGCATCTATATAACTTTTACGCATACCTTTAGGTCCTCCGATAAATAATATATGTAATATTAATCGTTTGCCAGTATCGCACCTGTTTGGCACCCTTGTGCTATACTATCTTTTATACCACGATATATATCATTTCTTAAATGATTCGGCATTTCCTCGATATTGTAAATGTGTAACCTTAATGTTTCAATTTTTATTACATATCTATACCACACTGCTGCAAAAGTCTACCAACATGTAATGAGAACGACTTGTCATTATCTCTGATTTGTAATTTATAGCAATAATACTCACAACATGACACCTCTCTTCTTGCTTTCTGTTTCTTTTTAGCCCCTACATTAAGAATTTAATTTTTTAGTGCACCCAATTAATGACCAGTTAAAAAATAGGTAATTTTATGACAATATCACCTTAATTTTCAGTGTGCAAAAACTCCTCTGCATCAACATAGATTTCAATATTATGAAGAACTTCATTTTCACATGTTCCCTCAGAAACCTTGTCTTTTCCATCTACATTGATCCTCCTAATTCCTTGATACCAACCAGGATCTCTGTTTATAAAATATAAGGGGATATTTTAATGGTTCATAAAAACTGAAATAGTGTTTAACAATTTGGGATTTTTCCTTCTTTTTTTTTTTTGTTGAAGATGTTGTAGGTCTATCACTGTTTTCAAGGTAAATCTCAATTTGTTGACCGATGATTTGTACTTCATTGTTAGACTCAGACCATATGGTAGCAACTTGTGACATCGTAGGTTTATTAAAAACATTGCTATCAATTTTAGGGTTTGCATACAAAGCAATTTTAGAATCCTTCAAGTTTCTAACATCAGTAAGAGTCCGAAAAAATTTAGCATACGAATTTAGAGCTAACGCATGCATTAAATTCTTGATTATATTTTCTCTAAATATTTTAGAACTAACAAGCACTCTGTTTGAAACCTCATGTTCATTGTCCTAGAAGTGCAGCTGAAGATTTTTTGCTCCTTGACTATGTGATGATATCAACTCATCCATAAAATGGTAAAGTTGACCCTGCTCACGAAAATTATAATTCCTTCATCCCTTCTAGCCAGTGATTTATCATAATGGACACCTAACGACGTAAATGAAAACATATTGTCATAACTTCGAATGCAAGCTTGGAAATGTTTACATTCTACGGAAGTGCCAGTATACAATTTCATTAATTCTAAAGGTATCATTATTTCTCGTAATTCTACTTCTCTAGATGAACCACAAAAACCTAGTCTTTCAGAACAAAAACACTTTGCACCACAAAATTTACATCCCGCTACATCAGGTAACAGATTAGGAGTATTTTCAATGCATTTTAAAGGATCACTATCAATTTGGCCTACAGTCACTTCCTTATGCCTACGTTCAGTGCGCTGATTATTTCTTACACATGTACGTTCTTGAAATGAAGCGTATTTTCTTTCTCTTGGCATTATTTAGAATATGCTTAACAATGTTTTATAAGTAAATAAACACAAAATTACAACAAGAAATAGAGGTTAAAATGATATGTCAACACACTGTAAAAATAAATACCTCTTCAGCAAATAAACTTATAGAAAATACAAAAATATAACAAATAGAAGTGAAGAAGTAAGGAAGTACCTGCTAACTAGTGAACTTGTGTAAATAGACATCTCTAACCAGATGATTGAATTTCCAAACACCTTATAAAACCCAATAGAAAGTGCGTGTGGCAGGAAAATGTGAAAACCACACTCAATTTCCTTTGATACCAAGAATCAAACAACTAATATGCATATCGAAGACATAAACAAAAATACAATGCTTTGAAAGATTCAAACTTTAATAATTCGCTGCCGTTCAAACTTTAGGAAATTAATCAATGAAGAAAGTACTATCTGTTGCCAACCTATTTTCGCCTATTTTGGCCAATTTTTCTTGGAACAAAAGTACTATCTGTTGCCATCCTTTTTCAAATAAACAGATTAACAGAGGGCATTTGATAGAGAAGCTTGAGGATTTTTTGTTTTTTATTTTGTTTTTTTCCTAACAAACGCAAAGCAAATCTAGCAAACAAACAAAGTGGAAGAAAGAACAAATTAAAGAAGGGATAAACTAGATGCGAACCTAAACTTTTTTCTTTTTGTTTTTGGCAAACGCAGTACAAATCTTGGAAATAAACGAAAGGGGAATGAGAGCAAATTAAAGAGTTTTCTTGGAAATTTTGATATAGTAGAATGAAGTGATTTTAGATTAAGGATTTTAATACAATATAAGGAAGAGGAAAAAGTTTTGCTGGCATATTCAAGTGAACCAACGTAGTTTGAAGAAGCAGCATTGAATCTATATTCTAATATTCTATTAAAACAATAGTCTAAGAGAAAAAAAGGCTGACGTGTCGCGTATTCATGCATCCATTTCCTGCCCAATAAAAACTACGTAGTTTTGTGAAAAAAATTAATTTCTACAATCTTTAATTGTGTTAACTTTTCTTGTCCTTACTTATCATCAATCAATTAATTAATAGAATAAGATTATTTTTATTAAATAAATGATTAATGATATAAATAAATGATTTTTTTATTATTTTTAAAATTTTAAACATCACAAGTTAAGTTAAAGTTGAAAAACACGTTTACCATTTGTAAATTTGATTTTAAAATATAATGTTGTAAATGGATTGGGCACGGCCGGGCAAGCACCTAGTTTTTAATTCGTAACTAACGATCGAAAGATCCATAAAGCTGAAAGAAAGTTGAGGAGAGTTAAAAGTCACGTCATCTAACCAAAATAAAATACGTGTGGGAAAAGTACCAACACTTTCATATATGTAGATTTATTTTTCTTAAAGTAAAGAGTAATGATTGAGATGGGGAAACTATAGAGTGAAGTATAACATGAAAATATAATAATACAAAATAATTAACTTCATTTCTTTTTCTTTTTCTTTTTTTTTATTGTGGTTGAAATAACAAATACTTTCATTAACTTTGCTGGAATTCAGCCAGTTCCAAATTATACAAAAAAGGCAGTGCAGATCACCAGCATATACTATCGGAACCATATGCTTTAGCATAAGCTGCTATTATATGAGCTACTATTCAATTTTATAGGATAAAATTACTATACATACATTTTTCCAAATTAAAAAATCAAATTCAACCGTAGGCAATATTTCTGCAAGTCAATTAAACATTTGGGCCAATCACCCACCATTTTCCTCCCCCGTTTTTCCTGCAAGGATGGCCCAAGTTCTCACTAAACAGAACAGCAGTTCAGTTTCTGAAAGTCCACTGGATTCATCTAAGCCCGTTTGCATTAGTCCTAACTCCTTAAACATAAAGAAAGAATACTGTTGAAAAGAATTAGTAATATCTTTTAACTGAAGTCTTTAGTTCAAATCCAGGATGGCCCAGCTCCTTAGGTACTACCCAAGAACCCGTTAATAATGAAAATGAATTGGGTTTTTGTGCTTGTTTATGCTACTTGTACTTTCACATATTCAAAAAGAAAACACAAAAACTGGAAAATGTCTCCACCATACCCAAAATGTTTTCAAAATTACAAAATTCATGTTTCATTGGGAAAAAAACGATGCTATTTTTTGAAAGTGCATTTTGTTAGACCTGATTCCACAAGATATGCTACCTTTGTTTACTTTTATTTGCACACTATTAAGAAAACAATGATTAGAATTTTAATTTTTAAGTGTATCTTTCTTACCTCTAATTAAAAGTATTGAAATTTTACAAAAATTTTAAAATTAAAATAAAAAATAAGTAGTAGTCATTAATAATATCATTAAAAGTAGATAGATATAAGAGTGGAATTAACCTAATAACTTGTTATGAACTAGCTGAAAATACAGAATATATAGTTTAACATCTTTAAGTATATTTATATGTTAGACTTAATTGTAAGCTTGCAACCAAATTCACGTACACATTCCAATTTCCTATCTCAGATACTCCATTTCACATGTCCTCAAATACGTATCAGTATAATTTTGTATAGTTTTAAAGATATCACATATTTTCTTAGCCTTCCTCAAAATTATAATGATAGTTAAAATGACAATGCAAATAAAAAATTATTATTATAAAAGATAAAGAGGCGTCGAATGGAATAGTAAGATGGGATTGTAACTGCGAGTCCATTGTCAAATTGAGACACTAAATGAGGGTGACAAATGCTGGTTTCGTACAACTGATGACGCAACGAGTCTAAAATTCTCAATCTTAAACTGAAGAATGAATAAGATAATCAAAGTGACAAAGAACTTGAATAATATAGTAGTGTATATATAATTAGGGCATTATTATAATTGTATATATACCATTGTACTATATATACCCGTAATGTTAATACAATATCCGTTAAGAGTTTTTATACTTTCATGGTATGGGAGCCTCTTCCTGGGGCGCTATTTTTTTTATAGCTTTGATTGCTTTTGCAACTTCTCACTTTCATATACATTACCCGGTGGTTGAATTGAACAATGAACATCACAGGGTGCTGAAAAATAAGAGAAAAAATAATTGTGGATATTGTGAAAATTTAGAAACTTGGAAATCAGAAAAAGACACAATCAAAAGTGAGGGTATTACTTTTACAAATGAGAGAAATTTGAGGGTAGGTTTTCGTAATGAAATAAACATTGTCCTTTTGAGAGTCAACGGTCTTTTGGATAATATTACCACTGTGGAAGTAGAAACAGTTAAGTAGAGAGAGATACTGTGCTCCCCATTTTCACTTTCACCGACTTTTCTTCAAAACAATGAAATAAGAAATTCAGCCAAAAAAGTGACATAAACAACCGACTGACTTGCCTTGTTCTGCATCACTGATCACCGCAAGAGCTTTTTCTCAAAAGGGTCTCAAGGATCTCTGTTTCTATGCCTTTGAAGCTTCGCCCCGTTTAACGGGTACTTGATTCTGACAATTTTATGTTTCATTTTTTCTGTTGTTTTTTACAACTCTTTGATTGCATGTGTATGCGGAAGTGCAATTTTATCTGGGTTGGAGTTGAATTGGATTTTGTTGGCAATTAAGTTGGCGAATTTCGTGAGTTCCTGTCCCAAACAGCCTGTTTTTTTTAGGTAATTGGTGGTTTGGAAACTGTTGTTGAATTGTTTTGTGGGTTTTGACATATGATGTTAATTTATTCAGAAGGATAGAAATGTGCTGATCTTTATTTTTATGACTGATTGCTCTGTAGTTTAGTTATTATCATTGAATTGGATACTGCCATGCAGACAATAAGTAAGAAGGTGGGAAAGGATGTATGGCGTCAGATAAATGATTGTTCTGATATTGCAATTGTGCCCACTTCCATGAAATGGATGTGAAAACTCCAAGTAACATGAAGTTGTTTGTTTGTATATTATGGTGGAAAACGATAAAATTTATCTTGGTTAGTTGGCTCAATTTTTGAAAATGTTTATACTTTTTTGTTGATTTTGATCTGGATATGCCATAGATATACAAATATGATGCTTTTCAAATTTAGCTTGGATAAATTAATTGATAGGGTTTAGCTGGTTCTTTTTTTTGTTTTTATTTTTTTTAAAATTCACCCCAATGGACCCCACTTAAATGTGGGTAAAACTCCCTTACAACCCCTGGTGGGAATCGAACCCTGGTCTATTACCAGGAAGGACAGCAACCTAACACTAGGCTGTCATTCAATTCAGGGTTTAGCTGGTTCATCTTGTAAATCCAATCCAATTAGAAAAATTTCTTCACTGTTGCAGATGTCTAATTATAAAGTTGCCGACCTTTTAAATTTCTCGGAAATGATGTGTCTATTGAATTGCAAAATTACAATGTCATGCGAGTTATTTTATTTTGGAGCGGGTCAAAATTTCCCTTGCAAATCTTAAAAATTTGAAGGAAATCTTGTTGTTTGAAGTAAAACTTGTGGTGCCGTGGCTATTTTTGTTGCTGTTGTTTCTATCTGGTAAAACTTTATCACTGGCAAACTATTGGGCCTTTTTCTGTTTACTAACTGGAAATCTTCGAAATTGGTCTTAAGCAGTGTTCTGGGCGAAAACTTGAACATATGCATCCAAAGTTGAATAAATCTGCTGCAACCGAAGCCAACCAGAAAAAGGCTTTGGATTCCTCTGTTTGCCCTGATCCTTGGTGGGATTCTGTGGGTTTCTCTCCTGCTATGGTGCGTGGAAGGGGCTCAGATTCATCCTCTCTGGAGAAATCCATGGATGATCAGTCACAATCTGACAGTAGAACAAATGACGAAGATGATGACATGTCCAAACAATCACAAAGTGCTGTAAATCAAAATACTGGTAACATTTCAGCCGTTCACATGGACCTCAAAAGATAGTTGGAAAGTTTGTTAAATTTACATTGGATTCTATGAATTGAATATGCTTTGTAGGAAGTGTTTTTTTGTGATGCTTGGGTGAAGTTTTCTAAAAGAGTTGGTTTCGCGCCATATTATTTACAAACTCCATCATGTTCTGCTCATTTGATTCACAGCATTGTTTGTATGTGTTAATATCTCATTCATTTCTTATTTCTCTTGCCACTTTGTCAAACGCTCAAGGATTAGAGACAACAACTACAACAATTCAACTAAGTGTTTATCCTGCTATGTGAGTTTGCTCTATGCATCATATTCTGCTGTCATGTTCAGTCAAAATACATGTGATGTTTTAGGTTTAAGGATGCCAGTATACATATTTTTTGATAGTTTCTTTCTAGTTCTTGGGTCGTAACAAGGTTAGTCGTTGCAGTAGCAACAACGCTCTGCATTTGAGCTTTAATTTCAACATTTGTTGACTGGAGTTTCTAGGGATTAGGAAACTTAGCTACCTGCAAGCTTGGCTATAATAACCTGGTGGGAGGTTAACTTGAAAGACACTGCTTATGTAAATAAAATTTGACTATTCTTTAGTTCTGTACAGGGTGTGTGTTAGAAACTGTTGTGTGAAAAACTTTCTCTGAATAATGTCTTGAAATTCATTATGAAATTTTTCCTAAGGGAATTATTTAACTATTTTCTTTTGGTGAATAGATGGAAACTATACTCCTGGGGAAGATGGCTTCCATGGGACTATCGTTCCTCCGCAAAGTACTCAATTCTTCTCCCCATCCACACAATTTGAACTAGTTGGGCATTCGATTGTAAGATACATCGTTATTTACCTGTAGCAATGTTGCTTGTTGGTCAATTTTTGATCTTTTGAAATTCTGCTCTTCACTGACAATTTATTTGTGTTATTTTTGTTCAGGCTTGTGCTCCATCTCCATATTTTGTGGACGCCTTTGGGAACGAGTTTGTAAGTGCTGTTTATGTTTTCATTAAAATGGGAACACATTTCAATTATACTTTTCTCTTGTTATTTGGTTAGAATAAATCTATATACTTACTGCGTTCATTCCATGGAATGTATGGTAAGATAATAGCCCGATAAGGAGTATTAATCTCATATTCCTGAAGAAATGTGCTAAAAGTCACTGCTAAAGAAAGGTTTCTCAATATACTTATGACGTAAATGCTGCTTTTATACAGTTGGGTATTTTTACTAGAAATATGTTCTCTGTCATACTTTGCGAACTCTGTCCCCCAGATGTTATTTGAAGCTTTGATAAGAAGTCAAGTTAGGAAAATGAGCTATCATGCTTGAGCATGCTGTTGACATCTAGTTATTTTACATCCACCTCATTTTTAAAAGCAGTGTCTACTCTCATTATTCCCCCAACATCTTTCTCTGGTTATTGGATCAAGTTTTGTTTTTTTGAATATTCAGGTTCATCCTGCTCTAGTGGGCATGCAGCATGTGAGGATGCCTCTTCCTCTTGAAATGGCTCAAGAGCCTGTCTTTGTGAATGCCAAGCAGTACCATGGTATTATGCGTCGGAGACAGTCACGAGCCAAGGCTGAGCTTGAAAAGAAACTGATTAAAGTTCGCAAGGTTAGTTTTCCAAATGCCTTACCCTTATCCCTGGTTATAAAAAGTACGTGAATCTGATATCTGTTTACAAACTCTGGCGATTTGAGGCATGTTTGCTTGAGTTTTTGGGTTAATTGGTGTTATCTCTTATGTGAAAACGTATAGATTGCCCTTCCTTTGCTATCTATTTTTTCTTTGCCAATCTTTAACTTCGTATAGTTAAGCCATCCTGGTTTTTTGTTGTGGTTCTTGTTTTTTGAAGTGTTCGAGATTCTTTTCACACAAACACGTCAATTTCTCTCCAGTGCCTGATACTCAGTGATATTGCAAATCGGATGAGAGAAGATTTTTCCATTGTTCCCATCAAATTGGTCCTTGAATTGGTGTTATCTCTTATGTGAAAATGTATAGATTGCCCTTCCTTTGCTATCTATTTTTTCTTTGCCAATCTTTAACTTCGTATAGTCAAGCCATCCTGGTTTTTTGTTGTGGCTCTTGGTTTTTGAAGTGTTCGAGATTCTTTTCACACAAACACGTCAATTTCTCTCCAGTGCCTGATACTCAGTGATATTGCAAATCGGATGAGAGAATTTTTCCATTGTTCCCATCAAATTGGTCCTTGAACAGAGCCACAGCGAACCCTGGTTTTTTGTGTTTTCATATAATTGATGCATCCTCTTGACTCGAGTATATCATGAGTTCATTCTATTCCTTAAGAAATGTCTTCATTGATAACTAAATGTGCGAGACATTCTGTCGTCTATTCTTGCAGCCTTATCTTCATGAGTCCCGACATCAGCATGCCCTCAGAAGGGTAAGGGGTTCTGGTGGACGATTTATGAAGAAGGGTACCCCTGCTGGACTTGACTCCGGCAGTTCCGATGGACAGAATAGCTCAGAAGGTCCAGCATGTGATTTTCCCAATGGCGGAGAGGGATGCGCATCTGACCGACAATTTGGAAGTATCCCCTCTAATTTATCCATCTCATCTTCATCTGCACCCAACCATTGCCCACAAAATGACAGCAATGCAGAAATAGTTCCTGATGGAGGAGAGGGACTCTCCATACCGTGATCTACTGGGGTAGCAAAACCCTGTTACTTGCATCACTCGGGCTTTCTGAAGCTTGGGCGGCAATTCATTCTTGGCTCTTCTTTTATTCTGTATGCGGTGGAAATTTGTTGTACTAGGCCATGTCTCTTGAAAAACTTCAGGTTTCATGTTCCCATATGTTGGTTGTATAAAGGGAACAGAGAGATCCCTTTTAGGATTTGGAGGCGAACTATATGACATTGTTTTAGGACCTGTACATTTGTAGGCGGTTTGTGGTTTTCTTCTCTTTCTTTTGTTGTTTGTTTCGTACTTAGTTCTGTGAATCATCATGTCTATATGTATCTTCCAAACTAAATTAATATCAAAATTTGCTCTGGTTGCAGTAAGATCTTTTCTATTTTTTCTTTCAGTTGCTAACAATATATTTTTTCTCGAGAGGGTTTTTTTTTTTGTTTTTTTTTTTGTTTGGCGGAGAGTCTCGAGAGGGGCAAATTATCTGGTACACCTGGAGGTACGGTGTCCCCCTATGCGTGTGTACCTCACTCTCTTACAATAGCGTTAGTCCGCCATTATAATTCAGCTTTCTTTTTCTTTTTTCTTTTTTTTTTAAACGCGGGGTTATATAAATAACCGAAATCATTCAAATTTGTAAAACTTTGTGATAGAGTATTATTGATGGGAGATGGCCGGCGACGATCGAGGCGTTGAGGCGGCAATGGGAGTCGGCGATCGTGGCGTTGAGGTGGACACGGCCGGCGGCGATCGAGTCGTTGAGACGGCGACGGCGTTCAGCGATCGAGGAAAGGCTCCGATTCCACCAGAGTGGCGAAACGGTGATTGGATCGACAATATGCTTAGTTCAGATCGAGTGATGAGTTATGTCGTTGATGATTCCGTCTTGATGAATGCGGAATGTAGTGGTAGAAAATCCATCGAACAACCTTACTGTGCCGATAAATCAACGCAAGGTCACGGTTACATTGTAGATCATTTGGAATCGTAATCAATCAAGTTTTTTCACGGTTCTATTTTTGTTAATATGAAGTGGATAAGCGGTTATCTTGTGTTGGATATCCAAAATGTTTTTCTTGGATATCCACTTTGTTTGTGCTTGGATATCCACTTATGTGTCTTGGTTATCCAACCGATACACATGCGTATCCAAATTTTATTTGATGGATATCCAACATTTTTGAGTTGTTTATATTGAATTGGTGTTTTTTCACAGTTCGGAGTGTACTGTTTGTGAGAGAATAATCAATCTAGTTTTTCACAGTTCTGTTTTTGTTAATGTTGTATGAAGTGGATAAGCAGTTATGCTGTATTGGATATCCAAAATGTTTGAACTGGATATCCACTTTGTTTGTGCTTGATATCCAGCTTATGTCTACTGGTTATCCAACTGATTTACATGCGTATCCAAATTTTATTTGCTGGATATCCAACTGATTTGTAATGGATATCCAACATTTTTGAGTTGTTTATATATCATTGGTGTATCAAAGATTTTTTTTAAAATTTTTTGTTTTTCTGTTTGTCTCATTTTTTGTAAAAGAGCATATCAATGAGTTGGGGGATGATGTGATGCTGGATGATGCTTTGTGCATGGAAGTTACATCTGCTCTGAAGGGTAGGTTTTCTAACTTGCTTATAGGTGTTTAAATTTTTTTTCTGATTTGTTTATCCATTGTTTTAATACTGATTATCCGACTGCATGGTAATGGTTATCCCCATCTCTTTTGTTTTTCTCAGAATGTGGAGAAGATAATAGCGGCAATGAATTGGAAGTTGATAATGTGATGTTGGAGGAAGATGCCTTGCACAAGGAAATTTCATCTGTAACGAAGAATAATGATTTGGCTATTTTTACTTTAGTTGGCAAGACTGCAAGAAGTGAGAAAGAAGCTTATGATTTGTATAATGATCATGCCCGATTGATTGGTTTTAGTGTGAGAGTGGAAAAACAGAAGTTTAGAGGTAAGACTGATAAAGTTAGGATGAAGAAGTTCTGTTGTAACCGCGAAGGATACAAGAGATCCAGTGGAAATGGTGATGTGTGCCATGAGAGGATTAATTTTCGGTGTGGGTGTCCAGCTTATATCTATTTTACTGTTGACAAAGATGGCTTGTGGACCTGTACAAAGCATCTGGTTGATCACAATCATGATCTTATGCCGAATGAAATGATTGGACTTCTTCGATCTCAACGTGAAGTAGATGAAAATGATATGAAGATAATCAGAGACATGACAAGGAGTGACATCCCTTTGGTTGATGCATTTAAGTTTGTGGCGAAATTACACGGGGAAGTCCGAACATGAAGTATACTTTGAGAGATGCCTACAATTATGAGCATCCTGGTGTTGGATTTGAAGGTGGCGATTGTAATCAGCTCATGAAGATTTTTTGGGACAGGAAGGAAACTGAAGAAGATTTCTTCTTTGATTTTGAGTGTGATGAGCAGGGTAGGCTGTGTATTTTCTTCTGGAGGGATGGCAGAATGTGAAAGGATTATAATTTGTTTGGTGACTTGCTTGTGTTTGATACAACGTATCGAACAAACAGATATGGGATGATATGTGCTTCGTTTAAGGGTATGGATAATCATAACAAGAATGTCGTGTTTGGTTGTGGTTTTGTGTTAAACGAGAAAGAACCCTCTTTTGATTTGTTGTTCAAGCAGTTTTTGAAATCAATGGGAGATAAACAGCCACAAACCATAATGACAGATCAAGCACCTTCCATTGCTGCAAGTATTCGGACATGTTTTCCAAGTTCTCGGCATCGTCTCTGTGTATGGCATATAGGTGAAAATTCAAGAAAGCGAATTGGTCATTTAAGAAACAAGCCAGATTTTGTTAAGAACTTTAATTATCTGATGAAATACACTTCAACAGAAATCGAGTTCGAGGTATTATGGAGGAGGTCAGTTTGACAATATTTTTATTATTATTTTGATCTTTTCCATGATTAAGAGTGTCTCTTATTTTTTGTTGTTGTGTGGGTATGTGTTTGTTAGTGATCATGCATGATCTTCCTGATGATTACTTATAGGTAGGTACGTTGTGTGGTAGGTACGTTATAGAAGCACAACTAAAAAAAGGCATGGATAACTAGTTTACAGATTGTGGATAACCACCCATAATGATCGGATGACTAGTTTACAGATTCTGGATAACCAGCGACTATGGCTGGATAACTAGTTTTCAGCCATTCTGGATAACTAGTTTATACATTGTGGATAACCAGCAATTATTTCTGGATAACCACCCTTTATGGCTGGATAACTAGTAGAAAGGCTTTCTTGGCTGGATAACTATATGGATAATCTAACTATTTTTCTTTTTATGCATGTGTTTTATATTGTTGTGCACAGATTATTGGATGAGTATGATTGTCATGATGACAAATGGCTCAATGGTATTTATGATGTGAGGCATATGTGGTGCCCTGCATTTAGCAAAGATTTTTTTTCTGGTGGTACCTTGTCTTCACAGAGGAGTGAGTCAACAAATAATGCAATTTGTCGTAAAATGAAGGCCACATCATCGCTTTGTGATTTTCATGAAAGTTTCTCTGATGTTGTACACTGTTGGCGGGTAGCTGTGAGGGGTGAAGATCTACGTTGTAGCCAGGGAAACATCGATTCATATCTTCCCGGTGACCCTTTCCTGGAGAGCATTCGTAGAGTGTACACAGTTGAAGTATTCCGGGAGGTTCAGCAGTTGCACAAAGATGGGATGTTGTGCAGGCAGGAGCAGTTAGAGGTCTCAAATGATGGAAATATTGTGACATACCATGTTTGGCGGTTTGGGATAGAGCACTTTAAGCATGTGGTTGTACATGACACTAGGTTACAGAGATTCTCATGCACGTGCAGGTACTACTCTGAGGCGGGCATGCTTTGTTGCCACATTCTTCGAATCTGTCACGTAACCTCTGTTGATGAGTTTCCTAAAGATTATATATGTATGAGATGGACAAAAGATTATGGTGCCAGGTCAAGCATAGCTAATGAGGGAGATGGAAAAGCTGCTGGGCTATTGCTTTGGAAGGCACTAATTATGAGACGATTTTCAGACTTGGTGTATGCAAGTGAATATAACAAAGATGCAAAGAAATGTTGTGACGAGGCTGTTGACAGGCTTAAAGAAGAACTCGGCAGTTTCATTGGTTCAAATAATAATGATGAGTCTGTAGACAATGATGGTGTTATAAAGAATTCGGCTGTAAAGAGGAAGAAGTTTGGTCCCAGGAATGAACGTCCTAAAAGCATTGTTGAGAAGGCATGTAACAAAGTCAGAAGCAGGAAAACAAATGCAAGAATTGCTGCAGACCGAACAAGAGCTTCAGTTGCATCAGACCTGCATTATCAAAGCATGCCATTTCCTTATCCAAAGGGAGCTGCTCAAGATTTTACAGGCTCAGGAAGTTTTGCTGCTGTGAATGCTTCCCATCAAAGCGTGCCATCTTTGAAAGTAAATTCCGGTGGATTCTCATTTGCTAATCCAAGCGTAGCTGCCCAGCATTTTTCATGAGCAGGGGCTTCCACTTCTGTGAATGCTTCTGATCAAAGCATGCCGTTCATCAACCAAAATTCCGGTGGATTCTCATTTCCAATTCCCAAGGGAGCTAGCGAGGAGTTTCAAGGCGAAAGCACTTCCGCTACTGTGAATCCTTCTCATGAAAACATGACATTCATGAATGAAAACTTTGGTGGGTTCTCATTTCCTAACCGAAGGGAAGCTGCCAGGGAGGTTGGAGCGCAGCGTTTCTTCAACAAGATGTTTTATTAGTATTTTAACTTGATGTTGAAATGAATAGTATTGATGGCGTAAAGATTTTTATTTAAAAAGTATTATTTATTTTAAATTGCAGTATTATACAACCAGTTTTAACTGGTTATCCATTTTGTTTGTACTGGTTATCCAAGTGGTTATTTTAAATTGGTTATCCGTTGTGTTCATGGTGATTATCCAACCTGTTTGAACTGGTTATCCAAGTTGTTTGTACTGGATATCCACCCATTTGGTTTGTATGCCTATCGAACTTGTTTGTACTGGATATCCATTTTGTTTGTAGTGGATATTCATTTCGTTTGTACTTGATATCTAACTCGCCTTTACCGGATATGCAACTTTAAATGCATATAGATATTACAAAAAAACACATGAACACGTTGAACACAGATAACAAGTATAATCTCATGGATAATCAGGTTAAAGACTGTACTTGTATTTTTTTTGACTGGATAATCACTATAAAACATTCGGATAATCAGGTTTAACAAGATGGATAACTGGTACAATGATCATGGATAACCATTACAAACGGTTGGATATTGCTGCACATTGGCTGGATAACCAGTACGAAAGTCCTGGATAAGCAAGATAATATCATAGGATAAGCAGTTTAATAAAGAAATAGAAAGACCAAGAAATTGGGACACTCAGTTTTTGTTGTCTGGGAATTTACAGAAATATTTGGACAACCAAAATACATTGGATAACCAACATAGATAACCTGGATAATTAGTACAAAGTCCTGGGATAACCAGTAATATCATTAGATAACCAGTACAAAGCCCTAAAAGTGTGTTAATGTTTCCCAGAAGTAACATGCTCTAATGATGAAACTGGTTTCTAGATCCGGCGATATACTTGAGTGTGTGATTTTCCTGGTAGGAACACTATACAACAACAAATGACGATTATCGTATCCTTTGACAATGAACTGTCCCGCTGGAGATGATTTGTGGCTTAAGAACACTGGATAAAGCCAATCATGACGGAAATGTAATCCGTGTGGAACGTGTGTGTTCACATTTGGGAATTCATGGGTCTCAAATACGCAATCCCATGAGGAAGTATCTGGATCCCATGCCCACATCTCACAGTGATGATTCTGAGTAATCTCGTACTCATCTATTACACACATAGTCCCCTGGAAGTCCAATATTTTCACTTGGAGATTCATATGAGAAGGATAAGTGGGGTTAAAGAAGGTTGGAGATGGAGGGCAGTTTATGATTTGGAATTGTTGAGTGTGGTAGTCAAACACAACCAACAACTCTTGAGGTGTTGCTATTTCAGAGGATAGTTTGTCTACATGCCAGTACACGAATCTATCAAACCAGGTTCTATCAGATACAAGGCGAGGACATTGCAAAGTGTTTTCCATTCCCCTCTATGAATACTTGAACAACTTTGAAAAGAAAAAATGCAGCCTTGCATGTTTTTTCCATTGACAATAAGGGCCATGAAAACGTAAGTTTTTGAGGATGATACGTACCCAAATGCTGTTTCACAATTGCTGAGAGGGACATCATATGGCCATTCAACTGTTGCAAGTTGTGTAGTCTTTGGGTTCAAGAATTTGATTTGAGAGCTGGTTTGCAGACAGATCAAATCTGTGGTGATAGGCATGATTTTATGGATGCCGTCGTCACCCATCGACATCTCTTCTTGAAATCGTATGTGGTTGCATGGGTTATCCATTTGCACTTTTATGTTGGTGGCGATTAGTTTGTCTTGCAACAGGTGATCTTCTTGGCTTGTTTGAGTGAAAACAAGGATGTTGTTTTCACTTGCAGGGTAGCTCATCTCACGTTTTTGAAGAACAAATTCCTGTCTTTTCGTCATTTCCTCCCAAGCTTTGCTGACACGACAGAACTGTCCAATCTTTTCCAATGACAGATTAATGAACATATTATCAAGCATATCGTGATGGATATATTCATGATAGCTGGGGGACATTTGTTTGGTGGTGGAATTTGAGGAAATTTTTTCGTTTTTCATTTTTTTCTGGCTGTCGGATGTTTTGATGCTCAAATCAGGCGTTCTGGTGTATGTGCAGATGAAGGAGTTTTAGCCCCAGGTGCAGATCAAGAAACTCATTTAATGACAGTTATGTAACTGATCCTCCTTATTCAATCCATTGCATGTAAAAACGTGTGGCTCTGTAACTACCCATTAGATCATGCTGGATGTACTCTGCACAAACATGAGCATTTTCAGTTTTCTTTTTTTATTTATACTCCCTCAATCTTTTAAATTCTATTTAATTACAGAACGTGTGGTTTTCAGTTATACACAGTAATATGTTCCACACTATGGATAACTAGTATGGACGAAGTGGATAACCAGTGTTGATTATCCTTAAATGAGTTACATAACCGGCTGGATAACCAGTACAAAATTCTTGGATAACCAATACAAAAGTTCTGGATAATTAATTCAGAGGATTGGATAATGAGCAAAGAATAAAAACAAAGTGAATTTTACTGTGGATAACCACTATGGATAACCAGCATTTTTTCATAAAGAATAAAAACAAAGTGAATTTTATACCCATAAAAAGGGAGAGAGCAGGTGAATGGTTGAAGGAATGGTACATTATCCAACACACTCAATTATGATTGAATGACGTTTTCGGGCGAAGGATTCTAAGGGATAATTATTATGATTGCCCGGCCGCTGTTTGGAAAACGTGCACACTAATGGGGCAGGTTTTCCAGAATTTGGGCGGGATTCTGAAGTGGGTTGCGTTCCCGGGTCGGGTTTGGTCCGCTAGTTAAGTCAGACGGCCTGCCCCTCATTCATTTTTTGTTCTCCATCATTTGGTAAACTTCCCCTCATTCATTTTTTTAAACACTGTTTATGAAATTTGCCTTGTTCGGCATGTGGGCGGCGCAGCCGCGGGCACCGGCACAGCCGGGTCGTTTAGTTTATCACGGGGGGATTTATACAATTAATTTGTGTCCCCTCTTAACGCAATAACACACTCTCCTTACACACACACGAAAAAGGATTACCTTAGCTACATTGGCGTGTTCGGCGGGGCGGCGCAGCCGGGGCAAGTTGGTGACCTGCGATTCTGGTAGCCGCGGGAGTCGTTTAGTCTATCATGGGGGGCGAAGCCCCCCAATGAATATGCCGTTTGAATTGCAGTATTGAGGTTTTGGATAACAAGTATAATCTCATGGATAATCAGGTTAAAGAATTACTTGCATTTTTTTTGACTGGATAATCACTAGAAAACATTCGTTACATATGCATAAGCAGTGTTGAGTTTTTGGATAAGAAGTATAATCTCATGTATAATAAGGTTAAAGACTGTACTTGCATTTTTTTTGACTGGATAATCACTATAAAACATTCTGATAATCAGGTTTAACAAGATGGATAACTGGTACAATGATCATGGATAACCACTACAAACGGTTGGATATTGCTGCACATTGGCTGGATAACCAGTACAAAAGTCCTGGATAATCAATTCAGAGCATTGGATAATCAATAAAGAAATATTGAAGCTAGATAACTAGTAGAAAGATCCTGGATAACCATTACAAAATGATCTGGACTACAACAGTCAATCAATTATACAAGACAAGATAATGACAGTTTATTTAACCCATCCCTGAATTTTTCTATCATTGTAGTAAGATTTGCTGCTCAAATCAACATGATCTGGAATTTCTTTTGGTTCTTCTTCAGCAGTATTTGTGTAGAACTGGTGCATTATTTCGAGGATTTTGTCCTTATTTTTGTTGGATGGGTGCATAAGGATTTTTAACATGTATCTCCACCGGTACTCTTTGATGTTTCCTGTGTGGAAATCCAAAGTAGTACCGTCGTCGTAGTCACCACCATCATACTTCTCCATGTGGTGCGTTGTGAATATTCCACAATCTTCCGCATTCGGGTTTTTGTCATTGTGCGATGGTAGCGTAACCTCTGTGAAGGTGTACTAAGCACTGACCAGTTCTATACGTGGAAACACGCATGCAACGTAGCTTTGGAAGAACCGAAACTGTGATGCCATAAAATCCAAGGATCAGCAAAATGCAATGGATAATTCTTAAAGTATGACAATCATTTTGTATCTTTTTTTCACTCACAAGTAGATCTTTTGTTGGCTTGTAGTAGTCCAGATCTTTTGCATGTAGATTGTTGAATGCAAGCACTTTCTTTTCTTGAACCAGCAACACATACAAGAAGTAATGCTCTCGGTAGTGTACTGGGAAGTAGATCTGATTTTTCACATTGAAAGGGGAAATCATAAGAAAATTATTTAACAACCAGTTATAGAAAAACTGAAGGAGGTGAAAGATGTTGCTTACAGCTTTTGCCACTATCAGAGATCCTACACTGAGTCCTTGTTCTTCTAGTTCAAGACCCAACCTCTCATAGAATGTAAACTCTAGTTCTTCTTTGTTACTGCCCAGTTGGTTGTATCGACTGATTGTATCCTGCGTTATTGTTTGGGATGGTTGGAAAATGATACATGATCAGTACAATGGTTGGAAAATGCAGTAGAAAACAAAGATCGGAATCAAGCACATACAAGATCAACCAAAAGTACCCTAGATGACAAACAAGAATGAATGGATAACCAGTTGAACTCTGATGGACAAGCATTAGTAACAAACTGGACAATAAGTGTTAGTGGTCATGCATGAGCTTCCTGATGATTATTTATAGGAGGTTAGTTATACAACAATGATGGATAACCAGCAAAATAATGTATGGACAAGCAGCCGCATAGAAGCACAACTAAAAAAAAGGCATGGATAACTAGTTTACAGAATGTGGATAACCAGCAATTATGGCTGGATAACTAGTTTACAGAATGTGAATAACCACCCGTTATGGCTGGATAACTAGTTTAGAGAATGTGGATAACCAGCAATTATGGCTGGATAACTAGTGGAAAGCCTTTTGATAAACAACTTGCAGACATGTGACAAGTATTTTACCAGGAGAGGATAAACAATAATGGTTTAGTTGACTTACAAATACGGAAACACCAAAGAATATCCGACTTGGGGAGTCACTTTTAGCTTCTTCTTTGTTTAGGATGACAGCCCAAGCATCTATGATGCTGTTTTCTATCCATGTGCCTTCCCTCATGGAATAGAATGCTGTCCTGTCTGCCCAAACAATTTTTCCAAATTCAAACAAGAAATTCCTGCATAGAAAAAGTAGTCAAATAGACAAATAGTTGAAAAACTGGTAAGTTTTTTATCGCACGGGTAAGGATGGTGGCTTTTACCATGATTTAACTATTTCTTCTTGTCTCTGCAAGAGAGCGAAGTCTATCAACAGGGCTTCTTCTTCGGTTATTTTCTTCTTCTCCTCTGTCAACTGTATGAAATTTTTTCTTGTTTTTCTTCTGCAGCATGAACGGCGACCTGAACCGTTCGGGCAACCGGTGGATTCTTGGTGGATTTCTCCTCCTAGGTTTTTGATTGAGGATCCTAGGACAAAACAAAAGAGAGTTAGTATGTAAATTCGTCTTTCTATTTTGTTGTGAGCATTCACAGTGGATCAAACTTAGTTTTCCACTATCTTTGTTAACCCTTCATCAAACTTAGTTTTCCACTATCTTTGTCCAGCATGAGTAGACCACCCGTGGTAGAAGCAACATTCCAATCGGGTGGAATTATGCTTAAAGGGACTGCTTCAACCACCTCTGAGTTTTTCTCAACTTGTTCTGCAACAGCCGCAATGATCTCTAGTTTTTCTGTATCACTCGACGATTCGGACGCTGGTGCACTGGTCCTTATTATAATTTCATCGATGGAAGGACTGGGATTCTTTGTTTCGTCGAGAGCAGATGGTACTGGATATTCTTCTGCTTCTATAGTCTCATTCACATCTTTATCCAGATCAACCCTTACTGTGACATCTTCCTGAGTGTTCTTCTCCTGGGTTGTCTCGTAACTATCTTCCTGACTGGAGAAGATACCCAGGTTAAAGCTTGGGATAGTTGCGTCTTTCAATGCTTTCCTTTTCCTAGTACCAGTGCTTCTCGACCTTTTGGTATAGGTGGATTTCACACCTGAATCCCGGCCGGTGGAATCTTGATGGGATCTCTTCTTTTCTGTCGTGCAGACATTCGTTGCATGTTCTGCAGTACAAAGTTGGAATGTTGGATAATCAGTACGAAGGTACATATATATTAGACACATTGGATAACCAGTTCAAAGGAAGTGGATAATCAGTTCAAATAGAATGGATAATCAGCAGGAACACAATGCATAACCATCTAAAGGGATAAAAAAGCATTGGATAAGTACAAATTAGACAGATTGGATAACCAGTTCAAATGAAGTGGATAATCAGTTCAAATAGGATGGATAATCAGCAGGAACACAATGCAAAACAATCTAAAGGGATAAAAAGGGGATTGGATAAGCAGTACAAATTAGACAGATTGGATAACCAGTTCAAATGAAGTGGATAATCAGTTCAAATAAGATGGATAATCAACAGGAACACAATGCATAACCATCTAAAGGGATAAAAAGGGGTTGGATAACAAGTACAATCACATCAGACAAGTATTTGTTTCATCACCTTGTGGTTGAGTTTGTTGTTCATCAACCAACACTTCTTTTGAAGTAGGCACGGATTTCCGCACTAGAAGAGAATTCCCATCATTTGTCTGGCTCAATTGATCCAGTCCCTGTGCCCCTTGTAGTTGAGTTTGTGGTTCATCAACCACCACTTCTTTTGAAGTAGGCACAGATTTCCCCACTGCAATAGAAGCCTCATCATTTGTCTGGCTCAATTGCTCCAGTCCCTGTGCTTTGTCAATTTCAATGTCTTGAAATTTTGCGAGATTAATTGGAGCTTCTACAGTGTTGTCATCAGTTTGTTGGTGTTGTTGTTGTTCTTGTTGGTCAGCTACTTGTCGTTGCAGCTGTACTATGATTGTTGCAAATCTGCTTTCAGCGGACTTCCATGCCATCTCGCACAATTCACAAATCTGTGCCTCCTGGAGGTCTTGCTGGTGTTGCTCTGCTCTTGTTCCTGTTGTGTTGTACCTGAAGACGGAGGCATCTTTCTACTCATCGACACCATTGCATCTAAAAGGATCTTGATTGTTTGCTTTGCTTGGTCATCTGATTCGATTTTTAACTCCATTTCCTTCTCATGAATGTCTAAAACAGTTTTGCTCATCTTGATAATCAATTGGTAGAATTTTTCATAAAGAGCGGCAAGGTCCTGCAAAATTGAATGTAGTTAGTGGAATGTGGAGATGGTAGGTTGGATACGTAAGTTTGATCTGAAAAAAAATGGTAGAACAGTACATAGACTTGCTGTATGTTGGGGTTTCCCTGTGTATCCTCCTGTGATTCAGCCTCTGGTTGTTCATCTCGGGATGCTGCTGAGGACGGTTTCTTGAGACGTTCAAGTGTCTGGACATCTGTGAAATTGCTTCCCTGAAGTCTTATTCTGTCATCCAGCATCTTTTGATCCCAAGATTTGATCACAGGGAATGACCTCGGATGTGCTCTCTCATACTCACACCTGTCAAGGTAGCACAACTAACAAAAAACAAAAAAAAGAAAAAAAAAGTTGGTGTTAATGATATCAGTACAAGCAGTACAAATTAGACAGATTGTATAACCAATTCAAATGAAGTGGATAATGAGTTCAAATAGGCTGGATAACCGGCAAGAACACAATGGATAACCATTTAAAGGGAAAAAAGAGGGTTGGATAAGCAGTACAAATTAGTTAGATGACAAGTACAATCACATCAGACAAGTACAAGCAAATTGGATAAACATTGCAAGCAATATGGATAACTAGTAAAATTTGTACGGATATGGTAAGTACCAGGAAAAAAGTGATTGGTCCGGTAAATGGTTTCCCATCGTGGTGACTTTTGCATCCTTTCACCAGTGCATCAATCACATATTGACACCAATTGTATTGTGTCACTTCATTGATGTTCACGAGGGACTTCAGGATGTTCATTGTGATCCTGGAAGTGGTGTTTCCATGTAGGAATGTGCTCACAACGAAGACGAGGAAATCTCGTTTGAAGTCATCACCAAAATGTTTTTGACCAGCAATTAATTTTGTCGCGGTGGATCTCGTTGGCAGGAATTTATTACTGTATCCCATTCTTTTCTTGAACGCATCCACCATCTCAGCATGGTCCGTTATACCGGCATCATTCTGTTTGAATTCTTCCAGTGGTTTGGGTCCACGAGGAAGATCAAGTACAGCAACAACATCTTCCTGTTTGATATCCAGTACATTGTTCCCATCCAATGGGACTTGTCTTGCACCGGTTTGGAAATTGCTTGCCAGAAAATTGCACAAGGCTGTTGGAATATTTTTGATTTTGAGATCCAGCAAGGCGCCAAATCCCATATCTCTGATAGCCTGCCTTTGTAGTTGGCGATAATCTACCGCATCTGGCTCTTTTGTAAGATCTGTTGGTTTATTGATTTCAGAGATGAGTTGGAAGAGATGGTTTGGTGTCATCCTTGTCTCAAATTTCTTGACGTAATCTTCAGAACTGATTGGCCGTGGATCTTGACCAATCATCAGTTTGTTGTTCTCAGGTTTCATTCTTTTCTTTTTGGGCTTTTTATCATCGTTGTCATCAGCAACCACAAGTTGCTTTGGATTTCCTGTCGTTGTGCTCTTCTTCCTCTTTGGTTTTCTCCACAAGTTTTGGGGCCTTGGAGTTTGTACAGGGGACTGTTCTTCTTGTTCTTTTTGGGTTGATTTTTGTTTTTTAGATATGGTCAGTGTTCCTTCAGGGAGCTCCGTTATATTCTCTGGTTCAGGATCCGGTGATATGTCTGGGTTGCACTGGAGGTCGTGACTTGCGCTGATCCAATTGTGCCTATATTTTGTTCTAGCCTCCTTTAGGGCACTGTTGGCATTGCACAATCAGTAAGAAGTCAGTGGACAAAATAGCAGGATATGAAAAGAAGTAGTAATAAAAAAAGGAGTAACCAGTATGAAATGGGTGGATAACCAGCAAATAATGTATGGACATGTAGCCAGATAAAAAACACATCGAAAAAAAACAATGGACAACAAGTTTACACATCGCGGATAACCAAGTTAAAATGGGTGGATAACCAGCAAATAATGTACAAGTACCCAATACCACACACGCAGGAAAACTTGGATAACCATTTCAGATATATAGTGGATAACCAGTTCAATTTGTCCATGCCACATAGAGTAAAATGTAAAAAAACCATGGATAACAAGTTTACAACTTGTGGATAACTAGTTTACCACTTGTGGCGTACAAGTATGAAATGGGTGGATAACCAGCAAATAATGTACGGACCAAGCGACATAAAAGCACATCTAAAAAAAACAATGGATAACCAGTTTAAACCATGCGGATAACCAAGTTAAAATTGGTGGATAACCAGAAACAAAGTTTGGACAAGCACCCCTAAACCCTAAAACCCTAAACCCTAAACCCTAAACCCTAAACAAGTAACAAAAAAAAAACACAAAACCATGCACATAGAATAAAATGTAAAAAAAGCATGGATAACCAGTTTAGAACTTGTGGATAACCACTCTACAACTTCTGGATAACCACTCTACAACTTGTGGATAACCACTTTACAACTTCTGAATAACCACTCTACAACTTGTGGATAACCAGAATGAAATACACGGATAATAAATGTCAGTATGATATAGATGGATAACCGGAGATTATGGCATGGATAACGATCACATAGCATACGCAGGAAACCATGGATAAATAGTTCAGATCTAGTGGATACACAGAAGGATCCTGGAGTAATATACTTACCAGTGAAGCATGTATAGATGAAGGAGAGGTTGAGATGGCCGGACGTAGGGTTTCTCGCCGTCGTCTGTGTGTGTGTGGGGGTTTGCCCTAAATTGGAGAGTTTCCGTCGACTGTGTGTTTGTGTGTGTTTATGCGTGAGGATGAAATTGATGAAAATAACTTTCTGTGTACATTTAATGTAAAGGTAAAAACAGTTGAGCGCGTGGTGCGCGTGTATTTGGTGGGGGGGGATATACGGTACACCCGGGTGCACTGGATACGGACTCTCGAGAGGGGTTACTTACATACAGTATATGTATTTCATTTATACTTACTACTCCATTTTGTTCTATTTATTATAAAGCATGGTCATAACTTATAAGAGGGAGTATTTCTTTTGTTAAAATTATCATCTACGAGCCAACATCATCGGCTGATCCTCAGATTTGAAATTTCAAGACCTACAAAATCTCTAGCTTTACATGTATTCTAACATAAAAGTGTTATAGAAAATTATTAAAGTATTTAAAATTTATCACGAGCCTAAATTTGATGATCCCCATACAACTAGTTCCCCACCAGACAGGGAAAATATTCAGTACTTTATCGGGTGCATTAGAACGCGCCACCTTTGGACCGGATTTGGAGTTTGGTTTGGATGTCATGGACTGTCAGTATGTTAGCACTCAATTACCTTAAATTAATAGTTTAAGGATTGATGGGTAAATATGCGAACTATTAGACTATATATAGTCTTGGTTGGGGTGAAATTATTATTGTGGAATAGTTATGGTTTTGATTTAAAGGACTGAAAGTTTCATATCTCTAAATTTTCTCTGCAAAGAACCCTAATTTTTTACCCGATCTCTTTGATTTCATCCCTGTTTTGATCTCCAAATTTCCATAGCATTACATTTGGTCTCAGAGCTAGACTTTCCTTGGCACTTTGAGCCCCAAATTTTGATTCTTCTGCTTTAATCGACTCTGATTCTCTCTTTCTGATACTTTCTGAATTTCTTCAATTTGCCGTTCCTTCAGTTCAATCGACAAAACTGACGAGAGCTAGGGTTGCTGTGGACGAACCCGTGAAGGAAACCAACAACGAAGCGAACCCTTCTCGATTCAAGGGCATGGAATCGCGGATGTTGTCTCTGGAGTCGAAGGTTGACTTTTTGGTATCGTCGATGGAGGCAAAGTTCGAGAGGATGATGGAGCTGTTTGACTCGTTGTAGCCGCATAACCCCGAGAAGGCGCCGGCAACAGAAGTCTCGTCTCCGACTTCTCCAGCACCTTACTAGCCACCGTTTGCACAAGGAGGAGCCGACAACACTAGGGCCACTTGCAAGGCGGCCTTGGAGAAAGGAAATGGTCGTTCCCCAGTCAACCCCGTGTGCGTAGAACTGGATCCCCATCCACGCACCGGCAACTCAAGCAGAACCAACCTTCCACCGGACTTCACAGCTTCGAGAGGACCTCAGGGGGATAACATCTGGGGACAGCAAGGTTACTGGTGGTATCAGCAATCCCGATTGGATTTACCACTGTTTAGCGGCGACGATCCCCAAAGCTGGCTCCATAAGTGTCGTAAATATTTCCAGATGCACAACATTCCAGAGGTAGAAATGGTCGATTCTGTGGAGCTGTTTCTTGATGGAAAAGCCGATACATGGTTCCAAGGGGTCAAGTCTGCCTACGGTAAGCCGTCCTGGACTGAATTCTATGAGGCTTTAATTAAACGTTTTGGTGTGGATAATGGTCAGGATTGTGTTGAAGAATTTAACAAATTAGTTCAAACTGGTAGTGTAATTGAATATCAAGAGAGGTTTGAAGAGCTCCATTCTAGGTTGTTGTTGTTAGGTTATCAGTTTGATGATGCCTATTACGTTTCTTGCTTCACAAGTGGTCTTAAGGCTGAGCTTAAACCTGCTGTTAGAATGTGGCAACCTAAAAATGTTGCCAATGCTTTTGAAATTGTGCTCTATCAAGAGCAATCTCTGTCTTCCACTGGTAGTAAGGGTTGGCAGGATTCGGGGCAGAGTGACTCACCCTTTAGTTCTCCGGGTAGTGTGAAGGGTGGCAATGAATCCCCGGTGGGAAACAGTGATAAATCACTCCCTGGTGGCTCTACTAACAAGTTTGTTAAAGGTAAAGAGGACAGGGAGAGTACGTTAGGAACTAAAGGGGAAAATGTTATCAAAATGAATAGTTATAAAGGCCGTGGTAATAGATATGTCAAAAAAATGTCAACCCAGGAGTTTCAGTACCGAGCCAACAACCATTTGTGCTATTGGTGTGGTGAGCACTTCAAGTCTAGACACATTTGCAAGTTTGGGCAGGTGAATGTGATGCTTTGTGAAGAAATGGCGAAGGAAAACGTTTCTGAAAAATGTGCTGTGGAGCATTGATGGCGAAATGGTTGGTATGAGTGATTTGCCCCATGGTGGTTGATGCTTTAATTTAGCATATTTCAAGATACCTATTGCTGTCATCTTCAAGTTTGTTGAAATGAGGCTTCTCCCAGTCTGTTTGATTAAGTTATTAGTTCTCTCTATATAGAGTTTTGCTATTTAGTTTTGTTTTATTTACAAAATATTTTGAGTAGTGGCTGTGTAGTAAAAAGGCATTTTGCCAGCTTTGATTTCCCAGTTCAGAGTTGTAACGTTGTAAAGACAGTGTTGGGGACAGTGTTGGGGACAACACTGTTTTTAGTGGGGGGATTTGTCATGGACTGTTAGTATGTTAGCACTCAATTACCTTAAATTAATAGTTTAAGGGCTGGTATGTAAATATGCGAACTACCGGACTATATATAGTCTTGGTTGGGGCGAAATTATTATTAGTTATGGTTTTGATTTAAAGGACTGAAAGTTTCAGATCCCCAAATTCTCTCTGTGAAGAACCCTAATTTTCTATTTGATCTCTTCGATTTCATCCCTGTTTTGATCTCCAAATTGCCATAGCATTACGTTGGACCATCTTGTTCCAAGTTAGCATTAGTTTGCACCAAACCACTTGCCAGTCCTTATACCCCAATTATATTTTTAAGAAAAGGATAAATTCTTTATTTGAACGTTATATTATATGCATCTCAATAAACATAAATTTTACATTTCTTATCCAAATCCCAAATAAAAATGAAAACAATATCACCATCCATCATATACACGATACTCCTTCTATACCAAAATAATTTTGCAGTTTATATTTTTACTTGATTAAAATGTCCAAATGGTCCCCTTACATTTGGGCTTACTTCAATTTACGTCCCTAACATTAACATTTTAATATCGTAGTCCCAAACACTATGTTTTCACACTTTTTTGGTCTCATTTTACTGTTTCGGCCACTTTTCCGTCCAGCTCGATGTTGACCGATAGTTGACATACCAGAATCAGGGGCATTTCATTAAAAATATTATAAAATTCACATTTAATTATTCAATTGTTAAAATATTATTTATTAATTTATAATATTACCATAAAATTTAAAATTTACATTATTTTTAAAAATTACTTTTTCTATTTATCATTTATATGATGGATACAAAATAAATATTAATTACATTTTATTTCCCGTATCACTCTAAAATTTTACCGTGCTACAGTAACTAATTCAAAATTCAATTTTTTGTTTAAAAAGGAAAAGTAAACTAAATTTTTTATCCGGATTTTCACCTACCAACTTTTTATTCGGTCGAAGTAAAAAATCTAGCGGGCCCAAAGGGAAGAAAATTTTGGGGGCGAAAATCCGGATAAAAAATAGTTTATTTTAATTTTTTAGTTTGAATTGAAGATATAATTTAAAATGTGGTTTTAGTGAAAATTTAAAAAGTTGTTGGGATAGAAATTTAAATAAATAATATTATTTTTACATCACCATCTCTACACCTCCACTGCCGCCGCCAACCACCGGACCACCTCTTGCCGCTGCCGGGCCGCCGTCGGCCGGATTCCGACGAGATTTTGGCCGGAATCTTGCCGGAATCCGTTTTCCAGCAGGTGGTCCGGCGGGTAGCGGTGGTGGAGGTGTGGAGGTTGTGGTTTAAACAACTTTTTGAATTTTCACTAAAACCACATTTTAAATTATATTTTCAATTCAAAGCAATAACTAAGCCAAAAACTTAAATAAACCATTTTTTATCTAGATTTTCTCCCCACAATTTTCTTGCATTTTTTTTAAAACGTTTGCATTTTGAATTAATTATTATAGCACCGTAAGAAATAACTCAAGATTATTGTAGCGGTCAAAGTAAAAAAATCTTGGTTTTGCTTTTTTTTTTTTATAAAAAATTTAAATTTTAAATTATTTATTGTGACTCGATAAATTTTTAAAGTTACAGTGGGCTGGGGTTAAAAGTACAACATAATTAACATTTTCTTTGGTAAAGAAAAAAGTAACTTTGAAAATAATTTAAATTTTAAAATTTTAAATAATATTTTAAATTAATAAATAATATTTTAATAATTAAATAATAGATGTGAATTTTTATAATATTTTTAATGATTAATATTTGAATGGAAGTTTAAATTATATAAAAAGACGAAAATACCCCTGATTC